GAGTGGGGAGAGAGCGCGGGGGGGGGCGGGGGGGGAGCCGCGAGTCCCGGCGCTGGGCCCCGGGAGGTGCTCGGTGTCAGCGCCGGGCAGCGGGCAGGGTGAGGGCCCCGGGGAGCGGACAGGGTGAGGGCCCGGGCCCGGCAGCAGCGCCCGGGGGGTGCGTGGCTCTCCCGGGGGGCAGAGCTGAGGGAACGTGCGGCGGGAGTTCGCCTCAGGCTGTGCGCGGCTCCAGGGGAGCGGGCCCGGAGCAAGGCAGGCTGTGGTGCTGAGCAACAGTCTTTTATTATTGTCATTCCTTATTGCTAAGTTTGACTATTTTTTTTTTGCTACGATTATGAAATCTAGGCCAAATTTTTCAATATTTTTTTTTTGCTTCAGGATTACTGTTTTTGTCACTCTTCAAGAAGGAAGAAGAAACGTTTTATTCTGCAGAAATGACAAATGAGTTTTGGAACAAAGCAGAGAACGTTTGGTTTGCACAGTGGGAGTTAATCCATTGCATTTGCCCTTGGAGATGAACACAGGAAGAGCTGCTGGGCTTTTCCAGCGTGAACAACTTCCTGGCATCATTGTACACAAAAGAATGATACATGTAAAATAGTGTGAGAAAAGCAACACACAAACACTGGAAAAGAGATAGATAGCTTGTGTCAGCATTTGGAAATACCTGCTGCCATGTACTGAAGAAAGGATTTAGCAACTTCCTTGGAGGCCTCTTTATTCATCCAGTCGTTAGAACAAAAACAGTACATGAGGTTTCCACAGTATATCAAAGTGAGCTACAGAATCTGAGTAAACTTTGTGATCTATAATGCTGCTTTCAGGTACTTGCCATTCCACACCCTAGAAAAGATGGTTAAAGAAGTTAACATCTAAAGTTAACAACTGTATCCCTTGCAAATAAACACGTGGAAGTTACTAGTAATTAAAGCTAAATGCCTCAAAGGGTTACTGCTGTTCTATAAAAATAATGACTGAGTTGTTTTAATGGAGAAGTCTTGAGTTGTCTTAATGAAGAGAGACATTCCAAGTGTAACACTCACTCACCTTCTAGAAACAAAATTCAGACCTGAACACCAAGTAGACAGGTGGGAACACACTTGAATGTTGTGCTACAGTTTTAACCCAGCTGGGCAACATTTGGAGTAAAGAACAGAGCAGGAGAAAACAATAAAAAGAAAGCCAAGAAAAAAATGAATGCTGTTTATGGAGAGCATAAGAAAGCAATTGAACATTGATATGTGGCAAGGATTTTGTGAGCTCTGTAAGTTTTCTGGTAATGTGAGTGATTCAGCCAAAACTATGGCACCACAATGACTGGGCAGTTGAAGTGGCAGTGTCATTAGAAAACTTCAGATGTTTTTACTGGGATATCAGCATTTGAGACACGGACGTGAACAGTGCATGAGTCAGGTAAAGGACAAAAAGTGAAATCTTAGTCACAAAGAATGCAATTACAGAAAGATGGAGGGAGTATTTTAATGATCTCTTTAATGGTGGAATGGATAAAGGCAAACAGCAATTTTCCAGCCAGCTGAGCCATTTGTAGAAGAGCCAAAAGGAGACCACAACACTGAGGAACAATAAAGCACCAGGTGTTGATAATGTTCCCACTGAATTATTAAGAACAGGAGGGGATAAGACTTTAAAAACTAATTTGTGTTAGTTTAGTGGTTTGAAAATAATGTAAAGAAATAGAAAAGGGGAATCACGTGTCTGTTTTTGAGAAAGGGAACAAAGTGAAACCTGAGGCCTGGGGCAGCATCTTGCTGTTTATTACAGCATGTGATGCTCCAGGCTATTTGTTTGCATGTAATTAGCCTGTCAACAGAAGACTGATTGACAGAGCTTTCTGGAATCAGATTACTAAGTAACTGAGGAAAAGAATTAGGAACCTGAGCAGAATACACACAGGGATCTTTACTGTGTTAGTTCTCCTTTTGGACAGTTTATTTTTTTATTTTTTTTCCCTCAGTATATGTAAAAAAAAGGGTTTTTTTGGTGTGTTGTTTGGGGTTTTCTGTGTGTTTTTTAATGTCCATCATAATCAGGAAGGAAATTTACTACTAATAATATGGGTTAGGCTTTTTTAACACATCTAAAGACACATCTAACTTTAATAAAAATATACTCTGCAATTACTGTAGACTTCTGTTTTAAAGTCTTTATATGGTAGGATGCCCTTGTTATTTTATTCAGATCCTTGGTTAGTCTCAGCTTTCCTGGTTGTGATGAAGAGTAGTAAGCTGGAATAAGAAAAAAATTACAAAATTAGTCTATCTTCCCCTCACTTTTTCTGTTTTCATTTTGCTGTAGTTAGGAATGCAAGAATAAAGCAAGTAAAAAACAAGCTTTTTTTCTTGGGTCAATACCAGTCTTTTTTTTTTTTTTTTTCCCTCTGTCTTGATGAGCAGTGTAGTTGTAGTCATCTAGTATGGTTTTGCAACTAAAATTATAGAATAGCACATTATTTTTCAGTTCTAAAGTAGGCTTGAATGAAAATTGTGTTGTGCAGAAAACAAAGCAGAGGATAGGTGAGCAGTTCTGTACTGAAACACATGAAATTCTTCAGTAATTAAGAAACTATAATTTGGGAGTGGGATTTGGTATAAATTAAAAGACCAAGCTTGTAGCCCTCTGTATTGATCAAAAGGGGAAAACTCTATATGGGAGAGCTACCAGAAAGGATTTGGTTGATTGACACGATCACTGTCTTTTTTTATAGTGAAAATACAAAGCTTGCATGTCACTATATTAATCTTGACATTGGCACTCTCAAACTACTGAAGTAGGTTTGCTATTTCTGTAGAATATACTCTCCTTAGTCAGGTTGGAGCCAAGATCTAAGTTTTTTTTGTTTGTTTGTTTGTGGTTTTTTTGTGTTTTTTTTTTTTTTTTTTTTTCCTAGGTTGTCATTTGTTCATCATGGAACTCGGAATGAACTCACACTGAATTCTTTATTCTATCTCAGTGGTGCATTATAACAAAAAAAGCTGCTGTGCTCTTTAAAGGATGATGCATAGAATCTGTGAGGTTTCCTTGAACACTGAAATTATACATAATTATTCTCTTAAAAGATGATATTCTCCAAATTATCTTGACTTTTTGAGCAGATTTTATTATTACTCCTGCCATTATGGTAGGATCCACATATAAAACATACGGTAATTTCAATCAAATTGAATTGGAATCACATTTTAAATACAGAATTGCTGTATAACAGTAGCTAGGTAAACAATTAATGACTGCAGTAAATAACTGGAGGTATTAGTGATTGGATGCAGAGTAGTGTTTAAGGATTTCCAGCACTTTTTAATTATAAGCTTGCTGTAATTCATAGCTTACTAGCTCACTTCATATCCAGAGAGTTACTTACCTCTTGTATAGATATTTAAATATTCTATTTACCTCTCTCTCTTAAAAAAAAAATAATGAGGTGCCCCCCCCCCTCTTCTTTTTAGCACAGCATTGTTGTCTATTGACCACCTCTCTTATTCTGGCAAGTTACACAGATGTGCCATGTATCCTTTGAGAGTGGTTTTTTCCTTTTGTTTTGGGGTTTTATCTGTGTCCCAATTTCTATGACTAAATTATTTGGTTACTGTCTTTAGGCCAGAGGACTCCTTTCTTGACGATGGTTTTAAGAATCAAAGATGCACTCAAATATAAACAGAAAACAATAAATAAAGTTTGTCCCTTTTCACTTCCTTTTGCATTCTCTTCACTCAAAACCATCTCCACTGTTGTATTTTATAAGGCATTTTATTACTGTGTGCTTGAAAAGGGTAAATTAAAGCTTATGAGTAGCACTAACAATCAATATTGTGTTTGCTTTTGAATTCTCTCATAGCAATAGCTTTGTTTTTTACAGTTTTTCCCCACCCCCAAAAAAAAGGTGCTTGTGTAGGAGAGACTCAGTTCAAGGGTGCAACAAGCAATTTCTGTTGCTATCCAAAAGATTATCAGAGAAAATGAAATAGCTTTAAAATGTAATACATTTATAATTAACCAAATTGTTTACACTCAGCTTTCATCATAGATTTCCTTTCCTTGTTACTCTGGGAACCCATGGCAGAAGTTCCCCAAGTTTGCAAAGCACAGTGTCACTGGATACTAAGTTACATTATTTCAGTTTTAAAGTAATGTTTTGACTTGCAGATAATGTAACCAAAATAACCTGCTACTTGGTGACAGCTGAAGGGTTTAAGAGCCACCTTCAAAGTTACTGGTGTAGCCGTTTTAGGGCCGGACTTTTTACACTAAATTCTTCGTGCAACAAAGCAGCAAACCCCGTGTTATGATCTGGCCAATTGTTTCCTCTCGGCCATTGGGAGGAATCCTCTCTGTGAAAGAAAAGGTCATAGCTGAGCAGACTTACTGCTTAGAGAAAATAAACTTATTTTTCCTGTGAGCAGTACCATGTGTTCCATGGTGTGATAGCATTCCTAACAAAACCTTGGTGATCACTGATCTGCTGTCTGAAGAGAATCCCACTTCATAAACAAAGAAATTAATTCATCATTGGAAACATACAGGTATCAAAAGGTCAAGGTCTGCCCTTGTGTAACCCTGTATCAGAGCCACTGTTATTTTTTTTACAATAGTAGCACGCTTAAAGAACCCAAGACAGATTCATTAGCTTTAATGGACAGTAAGACATGTTTAGTACTAATAACAACAAGGAAATACAGATGTTAATGGATGTAATTTTATATGATAAAATGAACGTAGAGGTTAGGGAAAGGTGGCTTACTTGCAAACTTCATGGCTCTGACAATTTTATTATTATTATTT